TGCCAATGCTCCGACTAATGCAGCCCAGTACTGGGGCTGTGCGAAACAGCACCATCCTGTTTCACCTTGAGTTTTGACATTTTGATGGAACAGTGTTTTGTCTTGAATTTCATTTCAAGTTGAAACAGAAAGGCTGTTTTGAGTTCACTGGGGATGGGGTGTCAGACCAGCTGGGCTGACTCCCCATCCCAACTGCTAGATCACGCCAGGGGCAGGAGGCAACCCAGCTGGGCTGCTTCCCTGACTCCCGCGCTAGATCGCGCCGGGGACAGGAGGTGCCAGCTGGACTGCCCCCCACCCTGGTGCAATCTAACATAGGGGTCGGGGAAGCAGCCCAGGTGGGCTGCCTCACCGCCCACTATCGAATCTTGCACTGGGGATGAGAAGTCAGCCCAGCTGAACTGACTTCCCATCCCCAGCCTATGCTCGAAACGTTTCAACTTTCGAAACATTTCAACCACCTTTGTTTTGTTTCAAGGCTATTTCGAGGGCTTTTGTTTTGTTTCTATTTTGCTGTTTCGACCTCAAATTTGGTTGAAACAGTGTCAAAACAAAACAGCCAGCAAAATTTCGCACAGCCCTAACCAGTATGTTGTTAGCCTTCTTGGCAACAAGGGAACACTCCTGGCTCATATTCCGCTTATTGTCCACTGTAATCCCCAGGTCCTTTTCTGCAGAGCTGCTACTTAGCCAGCCAGTCCCCAGGCTGTAGTGGTGCATGGGATTTTTCTGTCCTCTGCACTTGTCCTTATTGAACCTCATGAGATTTCTTTCACATATTCTCTCAGATACCTTGCTCACATGTCTTCTTACAGGCTCAGGATCAAACATTGTCAGATTTAGGATCAGGAAGGTATCTGTCATCAGTCAAACTGACATGGATTATGGGAGACAAGGGAGGTTCACTTGTCTTCTACACTCAGCATGGGCTGTTGATAAGCTGCTAGGGTCATCCAGGCACTTCTTGTCTCAGCAATTCCAGGGCATTTATACACATGCTTCAGGAGTGGGGTGGGGGGTGCTTTAATTAGAGCTGCTCTGAGAGCCACTCTAATTAAAGCGCCTGCAGCGTCACATGTATCAGTGTCCCCATACTGAAAAATGGCAGCAGGGGCATTTTAACTAAAGCTCGCACAAGCTTTAGTTAAAGTGCCCCCACCACTATTTTTCATTGCGGGGACACTGATACACGTTATGCTGGAGTTTGCTGCAGCACAGTAATTACCACGCTCCAGCAGACTTAATCGAGTCTGCTCTGAAGCAGTGCATCAGAGCAGCCTTGCTGCATGTGTATAGGCACCCCCAGTGTCTCATGGTGACTTCTAAGTTCCTTCTGTTCTTTGCTTGTGACACACTTTAGGATCCTGAGAACCAAAATACTTCAATCTAACTAAAGCTACTAGGCTCAACAGAGCAGTTACTGGATAAAAGTTAATAGCCTGGGACATACAGGTCAGCTAAGAGATCACTTGGTCCTTTCTGGGCTTAAACTATGAACAGATTTCCCATCACAGCATTCTCATTCTTCCATAGGTGGAAAAGCAAATGGCTCTTGCAAAGCCTAATAAACCTGAGATAGAAATCAGTTCTTCAAAGTCAGCTCTGCAACAGAACTCCGTGCTCATTGAAATATCCCTCAAGAAGCTTAAAAATCTGCCTCTCTTGAAGGGGGATTTTTAGTCATTTTTCTTTAGTGCAAACACTGATTTCAGGAATGCAAAAAGGAGATAGAACTAACTGCTTGGGTCTAACACTTATTACAGGGGCAACCCCCTATTAGTGCTCTTAATTGGTTCCCGAAAAACCAGGGGTTAAATGAAACAAGCATTAAGCAAAACTGAAAGTATTTGACAACCCAAGATGGTGACTGCATTTTTAATGACCCAAGATGGTGACCGCGAGCACTATAGCAAAACTCGCTGAGCGCTAAGTGAAAGTGGGTATCAATTTCCAATGAGTGTTATAGCAAAATAGCGCTAAGCAAAACAGCATTAATTGGGGGTTGCCTGTACACCCAAACCACCAATCTGAATCTTCCACTATGAAGGCTTGTGTGTGCCAACAGCATTAACTTGCTGTTTCTCCCAGTGCTCTGGAAGGGAACTGTTTTCTGGTGCCTATAGCTAAATCAAGGATTATTTTTCTCTAGAAAATAATTATAAAGAGTAAGCAAGCGAGTGAGCAAGCGCATTTGCATCTTATCCTATGCAGTTCATCTCTTTCCCTCTCTCTCTCTCTCTCTCTCGCTCTTTTTAATTTTTTAAATACTTGCTACAATACTGTCCGAGCGAACTGAAGATAACCGAGTTATAAATTTGATTCGGAAGCTGACCATGAGATTTATTCCTGGGCTTGACAGCACCATCATAACCTGAATGCTATGTCAGGCACTTCGAAAGCAGGGATGATGACTCCATTGCATTGCAGACGAAAGATTCCCAGAAAAAAATCATTCATAATTGCATATGAAATCGTGAAAGGATATTGCAAAGTAAGAGGTTCCTCTGATATTGCAATGACAACAAGATCATCTTCATTACAAAGACTCTGCTTTCCTTAAAAAAAAAAAAAATAGTGGGATACCACCATGTGCTAGCTGTCCTGCAGGAAAATTCTACTGGAGTAAGGTAGTTTAACTTTTACTCTTTGTCTGTGATTAAACTTGCCTTACAGAAATAACTAAAGCACCCTATCTCCTATCTCTGCAAGGGTCTTACTGAGTTAATAACCTACTTCAGTTTCCTAGTGAAGATAGTCACTGTTCCAGCTAATAAGAATGTATTTGATCAGTAGCTTAAGTTGGGAGCTAAAGGTAGGAGACACATTAAGCTTTTATGCCCTGATTTACTAAATGAAAATGAGCTTGATGCACTGTAGTTTTGGGTAGGACGCAAGGATCAGGCACGAACAAACTTTTTCAAAGGACTCCTTGGACCAGAACAAAATGCCATGAATCAAGACAGATGTTAACGGGGATGAGCAAGGGCAATAACACTGCTCAGATCCAAGGGTGACTAGCAGGGTTTTGTGGTGCCTGGAAATGAGAGAGAGAAAGAGAGGTCAGATTTACAGCCTGCTGACATGCAGAGTCCCAGCACCAGAACAGAAGGTCTTGCAAGTTACATGTGAGGTGCTTTCCTCTGTGTCTGCCTGGGACTGGAATAATAGGACAGATGTTCTGTCAATGCAAACTACCCATGCATATAATTGATTACAGCTAGTCCTGCTTATGTAACAGAGTAACGGGAAGACAGGAGAAGAGGACCAACATGGTGCCTCTGCAGCAGTACCCTAAGCACTTTATTCCCCAAGGCCAGGAAAAACAAAGTTCTTCGCAAGTGTAACTAGGATTATAACCTGTCAAATAGTAACATTCCTTCCAGCACGCAAGACCCCATCTCCAATAAAGCACACTTCCTCTTGGATGCTCAGGCAGTACGTGGAATTAGGCCAAACATAAAACTCATTGCTCTAGAGACTCATGTACTAATGAGATAGACTATTCTTACCCACTCAGGAAGAATGCAAACCGAACAAACAAGTGCAGAGCTCAGCCTTATCACTGCATGCAGACTGTAGGTTTTTGAGGAGGTTCCTTCCAGTAATTAGTCATGTTTTAACCAAGGGTCTTTATTTACAAATGGACAGAACTACAGACGTGGCTGAGCTGACCCAACCACCTCCCCGATTCACACACAAAGGACGTACCCAGCACTGCGGTCCTACTCATACTCCCACCCCCCTTGGTTCTGGGTATGGAAATTTGGCAGCAGGAGAGCAGTGACAGTGTTAACTGCCACCAGAGCTATGGCAAATTAACACTGCCACCGCTCCCCACCACCAAATTCCCAGACCTGTGGGAAGCACCATGGAAGACATAGCTCCCCAGCCTGAGAAGCACTGGTTTAAGAGATGAGTTTATATATAGATATACAAGAAGACTACGTAACCCAGCGGTGCTCAACTCCCAGCTCTCAGATCTACCCATGTCACTCCACCTGCAGACTCCCCATGGGTCCAAAAATTTGGTGGTGGAGGAGTGGTGGCAGCATCAATTGCTGCTTCCCCTGCTGCCAAATTGCCAGACCAGTGGGGAACCCTGAGGGCTGGATCGCAGCCCAGAGCCCAATCCCAATATCCAGGGCAGGGTAGGAGCAGCGCTGGCTCTGATCCTGGCATTAGGGGGAAGTACCAGGGCCTGACACTGGCACAGGAGGCAAACACGAAATAAATTAGAGTTAAAACATTTAACACATTTTAAAATGGGCTGTTTTAAATTGACCCAATATATTCAACTCCACAGACAAAACATCAAATTTCTGTGAATGGAAAATCTAATTCAGGATGGGGAAGAGTTTGTTTTTTTTTTTACTTCTCCTTTTTTGTATCTCATTGTAAGTCCTCCTGAGGCAGGGAAACAGTTTCTCATCTAGCCAGTGGCAGCTACATTAGGCTACAGAACAAGGGGAAACAGCAGAAAGGCAACAGCTAATCCCAAAATGGAGGCTGGCAGCAACTGTTAGATCACACAGGGTAAAAACAGATGTTGGATCTCTCTTGGGACAAAGCCTTTTGTCCTGGGCTCTTAAAGACATGCAAGCCCATTGTCCCTCTGTGGTTAAAAGCAGACATCAGGGTTTAGAGTCTGACTGTCCCAGGCTTTTGACTCAGCATAAAAACTGGCTTATTTATGCAGGACAATCACAGTTTGAATGGTAACTAATTAGAATTAACCCTGACTGCCCCAGGAAAAAAAAGCATTATGTTGGATACTTCAGGTACTTAAAATGGGACAATGGGTTTGTATGTATGTAGGATCCCAGGATAGCAGGCAATGGTCAGGGAGAAATTCAACATAATTTTTACCCTTTATGTACCTAATTCAAGTTAATTGTCATTGATTTCAGGGACAAGCTATATGTGAAAAGGGATATGTTGCTTCCAGGTTTTCACTTGGATCAGTCAGAACCACCTCAAATGTGAGGTCTGTTTTTACCTACTGGAGATTAGTTGTTTCCTTTCAGGTTTCCCCTCCCCAAAGATCTTGACTCCATTGGATTCAGCATGGAATTTCACTGCACAGCTGCTTGGACTCCAGGAAGAGCAGGGGAAGAAAGTCTGGCACCAAGGATCCCTTTCCCCAAGATGATCTGATAGGAGTCAGCTGTGCTGGCTCTAGGATTACTGTGTACTGAAGAAAATACAGAAAGTAAACCCTCAGGGAGCCACTGCCCAGCTGTGATGTTGTTAAAGTGGAATGTGTTCTTTCAGCTGATGCCCAGCAAGTACAGTGTGTCTACATACACCCCAAGGTTTCCTGTATTGGAGCTGCCTTAAGGAACCTTGGAGCAATTTGACTGGCTGCTGTTGGGGTTCAACTGTGGCCTTAAGGAAGTAGGTTTGAGGTATGTACCCTTAGACAAGCTGACTCCAGTCCAGAGCACTCTACCCAATGAAGGGGACAGAAGCCTCTTCTTGTGTCACACCTGCCTTGGCAAAAATTGCCAGAGGAAGCTTCTCTCAAACTCAGGACAGAAGTTAGCCATCATGGCTAACAAGTCAAATTACTTAACTGAATAGACATGGAGTAGTTCTAGTGAGCATTTTCAGTTGTTTGTTACAAACCTTCTCCAAACAAGGCTGCAGATTTTCCTACCCACTATATCAGAACAGAATATGTCTCCTGCTTACTCCAAAATGCATATAATATCATGCCACATTTCCTCTGTCATTCTCCAAGCACTTTATAAACCTGGGAAAGCCCTGTCATACCCAGCACACATACCAGGTAACTGAGGCACAGAGATATGGGATACATGTTGCTCATGCTATTTAGGGGGCGGAGTGCCCCAAGCTGGCCCTTTAGGGGTGCACCGATAGAGATTTTTTGGGCCAATACTGATGGCCGAGTTTTAACAAGCCATACTGGTCGCTACCAATCCTCCAATTGCTGATATGCAGCCAGGCAGCTTGGGGAGCAGCGTTGGCCTGGTAAGATTGTTGTGGGGGAAGAGGCGAGGGAAGGGGTGCAGGGGAAGCAGATCGAGGCCCCTGTGGTGAGGGACAGAGTGGGGACTGGGGCAGAGGCAGGCACTAACCATCCGGGGAAAAGTGCAGGAAGCCGCGACCGGCTCACCTGGAGGACATGGAAGGTGGGCTGTTTCTGCCACTGCACACACCCCAGGAGGGCATGTACCCATGGATCTGTGAGTGGGGTGAGAGTGGGCTGCCGCTGCAGGCTGTGGTGTGCACCCCACCCACAACAGATGCATCAGCCAGACCCAACTGCTCTCCATGCTGCTGGGCTGCACTTTTGGCTGCCTGTGTGCTGCGCTGTGGCTGTGTGCATTCACAGGGCATTTATCAGCCACATGAGCCAAAAAAAGCCAATTGCCAATATTCTTTATATCAATGCTGATCCAATGAGACCAACGTATTAGTGCACCTCTATGGCCCACTCCATCTATATCATATTTTGCAACCCATCTTTGCCTTCTGTGCTTGGCTTTAGTTACAGGCAGTTGAGAGTGTGGAAGGGCTGCTCAGAAGTAGGAGGCTGCATTGCTGCAGGACTTTGAGATTGTAGTCTGCAAACCCAGGTGAGACTGGAAAACACTGGAGATGGGAACAGACTAAGGAATACTTGATCTCAGGCTTTAACACACGGAGCTTCCAGAGGCAGGATGGACAGCTGCTTGGCTGAAGCACTAACATTTATGGTTGATGTGCAGATGTTGAATGTAGCTGTGTATAGTAGCACAAATAAGCCTATAGGTGTGCCCTGTTGCACATGATAAATTCCAGCTATTTTGCCCAGGGCACACCCAGCTTCTATCTACACACAAACCCACTCTCATACAAATTAAGTTATACTTTCAGAAACCAGCTGGAGGTCAGCTTTGCAAAGGAAGCAGGTTAGCAACTGAAGTGAGAGCAGTGAGATGCTAAATATAGAGTCCTTCAGGCTCTCTCAATTCCTTGCAGGTGATCAGAAAGAACAGACAGGTCCTTCCACACCGACTGGAAAAGAACTATGCAGACTCAACTTAGTACAGGGATAATCGCTCCAGAAGTCCCAAGTAATTTTGCACTGCCCAGTGTATGAGAGAGAACACAGGTTGGGTATGGCTTTCCAATGCAGCTGTTCACACCCAATCGCAGCTAACTGCTGTAAAGGCATCCCTTTAGTGACAGGTGTAAATTCAGGTGGCAAACCAACTGCAGAGCAAGTAACACGACCCAGGTCTCCCACCTGCCATTTTATCTGCTGGACAGGTATGTGAACTGCTAGGATAAAACTGCAGCATGGGAAGAATTTGGTCACTTTTGCATTTAAAAAGGCACTTAGTAAAACAGCTCAAGAATAACACCTCTTTAATGCTAACATTTAGTGGCTAGTATATTTGGATACCTTCTTAGCATTAAATTCTAATCTATGCTTTAGACAGCTACAAATTACACAAATCTGGGCATATCCCCCCTTCCACTGGCAGAAGGAAGCATTACACATGTGAACAGGAAACAATGGTTAATGCGATTCATTGCTGCAAGTGCACTTAAGCCAGTTTTGCAAGTCAAAGATAACATCAGCTGGCAAGCAAATAAAAATACTCAAACATGATTTGCAAATGGCACTGCTGAAAATACATGAATTGATCCATTTTCAGTAGAATGAAAGATGTCAACAGTCCTTAATCCATTCTGTCATGTTGGAGAAGAGTCACTAATCCATTCTGCATGTCCATAAACAGAGGCCCCTACACATTGATTTCAGGGCATTGAACTTCCATACTGATAACCCTTGGAGGCCAAATAGGCTTTTACCACAGCGATATAGTTAGAACAACTAATCATCTTCTGATAGCGTTGTATTGACAGTGAAAACATTAGAGAAACCAGCTAGGGTAAGTCATACCCACTCTTGGCAGCTCTGCCAGTATGTCCATTGCAAAATCCCGATTTTCTCGTACTGGGTGCAGGGGTACAAGCTCTCTTTAAGGCACATTAACATGCTTTAACCAAAGGTTATGAAAAAGTCTGAACACTGAATTTGCAAAAACTAACCTTCCTTCCCAAAAGCCATATGCCAGCTAGAGACAGATTTATGGGATTTTCTTCAAAAAGGAAGACGACACATTTCATGTTCCTATGGACAGGTCCATCCAGTTTGAAGCTCTTATCTGGCAACTTGATCTATATGGGCAGATCTTGTGTAAAGACCCTTTGACTTTAGCAAGACTGTTTAGGGCCACCTGCATCAGGCAATTTGCAGGATCTAAACAAGTAAATACTCCCCTGAATATTTGACTTGTGAAATTCACTGTCTGCTGTCCAGCCTGTATCCAGAACTAGCTTTAGGTTTGGGGGATTTTATGAAACAGTGTGGGGGTCCCAGTGGCTACAGGGTGGAATGGTCAAAATCAGGATGTATGCCACTGTATGGGAAATAAACGAACTTGATGTAAGGTGCTTACAAAATTGTGGATCCCAAATGATCTCGCATCATGGAGTGGCTGGGTGCCTACAGGAGGCTGCTGGTGAGGGAAGAGAAATGCAAGATCCTACACACCTAGCACCTGCAAATAATTATACTGTGCCTAGGTAAAGGAACAGACACTTTCACTTCAAAATGCACCAGACAGCACAACATGAAAACACCTCAATAGGGAGTTTACCACCTATCCCACCAGGTAAGGGGTGGAGTGGCAGGGGGGGAAGTAGCAATGTGTTTATCTAGCACACAGCTCAGTCAGATCACTTTGAGAGCAAGAATTTATTCCAGTCTCAAAATTTAGTCCTAACTCCATTTGAGTTGCCCAAGTATTTCCCGAAGACTTGGATGCCCTAGAGCAGGGGTTTCCAACTGGCGGTACGTATACCCCTGGGGGTACTTTGGAAGGCCCCAGAGGGTATGCAGCAGCGGCGCAGAGAAGCCAGCCGTGCTGCTGGTTTAGCTGCTGTGGGGGGGAATCTTCCCACTTGCTGACCAGCTGCCAGGGGACCCTCCCCTCGACTGGCCACCAGGGGACTTCCTGCTTCTCAACTGGTGGCTGCAGTGGCCGGGGGAGCCCTGACCAAAAAAGGTTGAAGACCCCTGCCCTAGAGCAAACCCTATTGCAAGTGGAAGCGCATGCATTTTGTTGAAGGGATTCCCTTCAAAGCAAAGCAGACAGAAGACCTTGTGTCTGCTAGGGCTTTGCAAAATTTCACCAGCTGTTTTGTTTCGACTCATTTCAAGCTGAAAACAGCAAAATCAAAACAAAATGAAGGACTTTGAAACAGCCTTGAAACAAAATGAAGGCAATCAATGTTTAGGAATGTTTCGAGTTTTGAAGCAGCCCAGCTGAGTTCCTTTCCCCAGCCTGATCATAACTGTGGACTGGGGAACTCAGCTGGGCTGAGTTCTCTTTCCCAGCCCATTGAAACTGTTTCAATGAAACAGAACAGTATTTTCAAAATGAAACAAAACTCAAAATGAAACAAAACACTGTTCCATGGAAATGGATGTCGAAGCAGAACGCTGCCGATTCACACAGTCCTAACCTTTGCCATACCATTGGATCCATGCTGGTCTAACAGCTATACTAGCCCAGCTTCCCTCAAGTCCAGTCCTATTCTGCTCTTGCTTTTGCAGCAGCCATGGATTTGAACAGCACAGCAGCACTGCCCTGCTCTTTTTTGAAGTCACCTACAGCAAGTCCACAAAGGGCACAGAGAAACCACCACCAACATGGTGCTTGACTACACTACCTCTTCCTTGACCCAGTGCTCAGGGATGTATCCTTTTGCATTTCTAAGTCAATGATACTGGATGCCAGGGAGAGTATAAATAGGGGGAAGGTCATTCTAGATGCATCCTGTTTGCATGCTCTCCCTCTAAAGCAGGGGTGGACAATCTGCAGCATGGGTGCCACAAGTTACCTAGGGAGTCTTTGTACATGGCCCATAGCAGACTGGAGTGAGGCCAGGCACCATAGTTGCAGACAGGGCAGGGAACAGAAAGCTGAGCAGATCAAGTAGAGAAGGGGATCAGACACACACACCTGTGAGGGTGCAGGGCTAACTTTTTTTTTTTAAATAACCATTCCACAAGAATGGCCCCTGCTTCTCCAAAGCATCTGCTATTGCCACTGTTAAATGAGAAACTAGACTAGATGGACCTTAGTGTAACCTAGTATGTCACTGCTTGTT